GAGAGGGAGGGGGTGGGCCAGAGAGAGAGGGCGGGGGGGGGCTGACAGTGGGGAGCTTGCCTTATGCACAGTGTGGGCTACCGCTCGTTGTACCTACCTGCTGGCTATCGTCACACGCTGATTTCCTGATGAGTCATCTCTCTCTCGTCTTCCGCTCGTTTTCTCGCCCACTGATTGGTCACTGGAACAGTGTCACCTATAGAGTATCCCGATGGCTGTTTTGTATGGCTACTGCCACGCAAACTGTGGCATTGTCCTCGCTCATGTCCGCATCCAGCAGCAAAGGCGTGTTGGGGGGCGGCAGGCAAGTGTGGATCCCTATCGAGTGGGGATGATCTGATGTCGGTCGGTGCGCTTTTGTCGGTCGGTGCGGTTTTGCAGTGACGTCTGGACGATGAGACGTAAGAAAATGTCTGGCCGCCGTGTGTGTGGTGTGGGGGGCCGGGGGGGAGGGAGGGAGGGTTTGATGTTGGCGCGTTTTGTGCTTAGCTATCGTGCGTACCCACCCACACATTCATTTATCCATCCATCCACTTCACGCATCCACCCATCCATCCCATCTTCCACCTTGCGTCCCACTTCTCGCTTACGTCAATGTCTACGATGCTGCTGCGGCACAAGCGGTCTGTGCTTCATCCAGCTGCTTGCTTACAACTGCTACGGTGTTTGCTGTCGATGTCACTGGCAAGTGTTTGAGAGAGAGACTGCCCGTCTTCATCTGGAAACCTCTATTCTCTCCCCTTCATGTGCGTAACGTACGACCCATCATGCGGCCCGAGCGGCCTGCGTGAGTGTATCATATCATACATAGAACGGGGAGATCAGGGCCGGCGGGGGGGGGTGGGGGGGTTGGGGGGGGGCTATCTCTCTTGATGCAGCCTGATGGGTGCCTGCGTCTCTGACTTGGGTGTGTGTTCCTGTTTCTGCCCATGTGTGGCGGGGAGAAGCCCACTGGGCGCCCTCTTTCGTCTCGAGTAGGCCTACCATCGCTGGCAGACTGGCTGCCGGTGCGGACGAAAGAGGCAAGGAGGGCACACGTGTGCATGGTCTGGCTGCACTTTTGTGGTGACGTCTCATCTGCCGGCCGGCCGGCTGGCTGGTTCGGTTGATGAGGTGGATCCTGGCTGCTTTGATGCATGTGTGATGTATTCTCATGTGATTTTTATGTGATTTTATTACCGAGCAAGGCACTCACGGCCTGCAGTGATTTTAATATAGGCGCCTCCCTGCAGCCATTGGCTGTCCCGTGTGTGCGCGAATGGATGTGTCACTGTGGGCCGACAGGAGAGGGGTCAAGTGGTCCCTGCTGCGGCCATGCATGGCATGCAGCAGGGGTTATCCACTGCACTCCCAGCCGTTCCTCAGTGGCACATCCATTCACGCGCCCACACGGGGCGGCCAGGGCCACACACACACAGACAGATACCGACTGCATAAGTCGTCCTTGTCTACGGATGGACACCACGTGACGTCACAGAGAATGGACAGGTCGATCGGTTCATCAGATCTGAGCGCACACTGCCTCTGTGCGGTCGGTCACCCACCAACCAACCGAGTGCGCCTGACACAGAGCACAGATGGCGTCTCGCTGCCTCCACACATTCACCGCACCAAAGTTGGCCGCACCACAATACAATGGACTGACTGACATATGCCGCTACTTCCAACGGCCAAACGAACGAAATCGGCACGGCCGACAGACGGAGGGCGAGATGCACAAGTACGAAGGCAGACAGGCAGATCGGGGACGCCATTCGTCCCGCTCACAAACCAAAAATACGCGCACGTACACAGACAACAACAGGCAGGCCACGCGCAGCACCGCAGAAGAACCACACTAGAGACGTGCATCCGCAACACAGACAGCCAGCCGTCAGGTCGATATATGGCATTTGGCGTCAATCAGTTCGTGAGTGAGAAGGTGGGATGATGATGATGTGCTCATCGTAGGTTTGTGCCTTGTATGGTTTGTGTTTTATATGCGGTCCTCTCGACGAATTCACAGGGGCCGCTGCCGCTGGGTGCATGCCATGCGGATAACCAACATCAACGTATGTGCCTATGTCAATCTGTCCGAGTGGAGCGCTTCATGGAAAAGAGGAAAGGAAACGGTCCATCCATCCATCCAGATAGGTGTGTGTGGTGCCAGTGAATAAGTGAATGCAACACTGCAGCCAGGCCATGGCCGTGCACGGCCAACACCACCCACGCCAGCCAGCCAGCCAGCCAGACAAGATGGACGATGGGATCGCACAAATCACACACAGACAGTGCAGAATGACCATTAAAACTCTGTGTGTCCCCTCCGTGCCTGTGAAACCCTCTGTGTCTGTGTGTGTCTGTATCCCGCCCGTCTGAAAGAAGTGGTGTAGTAGCTCTACTCGGCTATCTAATGCTGCCGTGGTGGGCCGGGGTGCGGTGCGGGACGAGGCCCATATGCTCACCCACAGGCAGTCCCCCATTGTCCGCGACACACACACCCACAGCCAGGCAAGCCGCAGCAAAACGCACAGATACAATCGACACGTACAGAGTGAGTGAGGGAGGGAGGGAGGGAGGGAGGGCCAGATACACACACAGATTTCTGCAGACAGCAACACAAACTAGGCGCCCCCCACCCATATGTCTGGCAGCATCGGTGAGTCACCACTGGCTACGGAGTCAGTGGTATGTGTGCAATCCAGCTACAGCCACAGAGAATCTCCTGCACACACACACAGCCACACAGAGGACACGACATCCAGTCATCCATTGGCCTCACAAACCGATTTGTGGCGTACCGGTGTTTTGTGTTGGTTGGTCATCCGAGCGATGCAGTGTCGTCAGCGCCGTTCTCCTCCTCAGCTGCGGCGTCCTCGCCTGTCAAATAAACACACACACGCACGGGTGTTGCGGACAGACATGAGATGTGTGTGCCTCTCTTCCTTTGTTGGTACCTCCGCTGCCGTCAGCCATATCGTCACCATCACTGCCGTCTACACCACACACACAGAAGGCCCATCCACCACACGCGGTTTCACTCACATGCTTCCGTCTCTCCCCTATCGGTACCATCGTCATCGTCGTCGTAGTCATCGTCTACTTGTCCGTCGAGCACGAATGGCGCCACCCCCCACCCCAGCGCCACTCGGGCCAGCTGAGTGGTCAAGGGGAGGCGGTCCTTGAAGGCACGACCAGCACCAGCCACAGGCGCCTCGGTCGTCGCGACATACACCCGCACTGTAGACAGACGAGAGAGAACAACACATGTGGCAGTTGACGAGCAGAGCCGCCTGTCTGTCGGCCTGACCGGTGCCGTCCCCCCAATCCGATATGGCAATCCACGCGACAAAGTTGTGGCTGCTGTTGGTCAGCACCAGGTAACGCACACGACCGTCCCGGCTGAATGTCGTCGAGCAGCCGGCCACCGGTGTGTGGGGCGACTGGGTGAGGAGGTCATCCAGACGGCCGCCACCAACATACCTGAGCCAACCACACAGACACACACACAATCAAACACACGCCCATCTCGCCACTTGGTGTGCTACCTGTTGAGCTGGATCAATGTGCGATTGATCGGGTGAGTCGCGTGGAACTGATCGACGATCTTGTTCTTGGCGAATGACGACAATGACGCATCCGTGGTCGGGGCGTCCGACACCCATCCGCCGGTGGCGCCCAAGTACTTGATGCGTCTGGCCACTGGTGGGTCATGCTCTAGTCGGTGCTGCTGATACAGATGGTGGGCGGCGAGGGGCGGGTTGACGTCCAGCCGGAAGCGGGGCTCGTCCTTGATGGCCCGCATCTCACCATTGGGATGGCGGAAGATCCGCAGGCAGCTGCCGTCACCGAAGGCCACGTGTCGGCCGACCACCATCAGCTGCGCCAACACACGGGGAAACGATCTATACGCCTACACCACACCACATACACACAGACAGACAGACAGACAGACGGACAGGGAGAAGAATGAGTGAGGCCTTTCTGTTCTCTCACCGCCCCTCTCTGTGTGTGTGTGCCTTACCGTCTTGCTGGCGTGTGTGTTGATGTCATCGGCCGTGAGGTTGACGGGCAGCTGACAGAAGCCGCAGTCACTGGCCCACTGCAGCACCTCAGCCACCTCGTCCCACTTCTGCTCTTCCACCAGCCAGATGGCCGCCAGCAGCAGCTGCGCCCCGACCACCGACTGAGTGTCGAAGGTCAGCACCGCGTCCAGCCGCGTGCCGTCAGCGAGGCGAATGCGATGGAGGGAGCGGTTGAGTCGGCTGCGGAGGATCTGGGCAGGGAAGTCGACCTTGCTGAAGAACAGGGCCGTCCTCCTGATGTTGCCGAGGTCCTTCAGGGTGTGCAGGCCATCGCGCTCGTCCCGATAGACGACGTCGAGCACCTGGCCGTTGATGGCAGGCGACGCCTCGTCGGTGCTCTTGCTGTTGACCGCACCCATCGCACTCGCAAAGGCTACTTTCTACCCCACGGAATCGCCGTCATTGAAGCTCGCAATGTCACGATCGAATTCATTGCTCCGCCGAGAGATGACGAGAAGAGAGAGCTTCAGGTGCGTGTGAGTGTTGCGAATGCCTGCCAGTGCGATGATGTGTGCGGGATGGCCGATTGTGGTTTGAGTTCACGGAGAAGGAGTGTCTGAGTGCAAAATGAATATGGGCAACACATCGCATTCATTCATTCATCCACTGACACACACCGGTCAGTCAGTCCGTCCATCAACACAGTCAGGCAGGCAGGCCAAAATATTCATATGGACGACAGGCAGAGAGGGGAGAGCGCCATTCCTCCAGAGAGAGGGGAGAGCCATGCAGCCATCGTCATGCATCTCTACGACCGACATGCCCAGGCCTGGCCCACCTGACTGAATCAATGAAGGCGTCAGTCAGGTGCCTCACTCATGATCCCTGGCTATGCAGGCAACACACACACACTTCACGAGAGAGAGAGAGAGGCCATCGATGTGTACAGACACATACATTCCGTATATGAAGTCAGTCCGTATATACGGATGTGTGTACTCACATAATAATATATACATATCGGTGTGTACAGAGATCGACGGACACAGAGAGGGGGGGCAGCCGACGTAAGTAAGGCAATTAGGCACCAGGATGGAGACAAAGCAAGACGCACGCACCGCATGCAGCGAGCCGCCCCGCCCCACCACCCCCATGCACCACCGCCACCACGAGTAAGTCAGGAGGGCTGGAGCGGATCGCTCCAGTGTGTGTGGAGGCGTATACACATGACCGAGTGCCATGCAGCAGCCGCACCCGATACGATGTGAATTTCAGGAAGCCGCCCACAGCCCCAGGGAACCAACAAGTAGGCAAAGCCAACTGACTGCATCGGAGCAGCCTGTGTGTCTGATGTGACGGTGTGAGTGGATGGACCACGACTGTGAAGCAGACACTGCCACGTGTGGCCACGTAGGTATGTGTGAGGTATGTGTGATGTGTGTGGGCATGGAGCAAACAATGCGTCGCAGATGGATAAATGGATAAACGGATGGAAACACAATTTTAGAGTGTGCGGTGCATCGATCGGCCTGTCTGTCTGTCTGTCTGGGTGAATACACATGCACATGTGTGCACACCTTCACAGAGAGAGAGAGAGGAGATGTCAATCATCAGCCCAACAAAGTAAAGCACCGACCGCCCAGCCATCCAGATGGAGAGGAGGGAGGGGCAAAACACATAGACACGGCAGCCAAGGAGTGTTTGAGTGTGTGTGTATTGATTTCTGTGCGCCGACACGTTCACATCAGTCAGTCAGTCTATCCACATCACATCCACGCACACAGACGCAGACACACACCATGTCTGTCTGTCTGTCTGTCTGTCTGTCTGTCGGGACGTCCGTCCACACAGCCAGGCCAATACATATCGACAGCACACATGCAGCGAGAAAAAGAGAGAGAGAGAGAGATGGAGGAGGCAGCCATTCGTGGGTTGCCATCAGCAGTGATCTGCACCGGTCAGCGGGCTACAAACAGAGAGGACGGCAGACAGCACTCCGCCACCCTCCTGAGGCCACAACACACACACACACACACACACACAGACAGAGAGGGAGGGATGGCACCAGCCGATGACATTGCAGTGTGTCCGCGGCGCACCGGTGAGTATTGAGATCGGTCTGTGTGTGTCGTCAGGGCGATGCATTGCCGTCACCGCTGCCATCCTCGTGCTCCTCCTCAGCCGACACACCCCCACCTGCCATCGACACAGACACAGACGCACACACGCAGACGTATGATGCGGGTCGGTGTGGAAGGTAAGGCATCTGTGGCGGGGGCGTCTGTGCCTTCCTCCCTCTCTGTGTACCTCCGCTGTCCTCTCTGTCGCTGCCGTCATCCATATCATCCCAACCGCCGCCATGGCCGTCGGAATCTACACCACACACAAAGACAGACAGACAGAGAAGTCCTGCCGTCCATCCATCCAACGCCACCATGTGTCTGTGTGTCCCCTCCCCTCCCCTGTCCGCACCGTCGTCATCCTGCTGCTGGTCTTCTACCTGGCCGTCAAAGACGTATGGCGCCACACGGGCCAGCGCCACACGGGCCAGCCGAGTGGTCACGGGGAGGCGGTCCTTGAAGGCACCACCAGCACCAGCCACAGGCGCCTCGGTCGTCACGACATACACCGACACTGCAGACAGACAGACGAGAGAGAACAACACATGTGGCAGTTGACGAGCAGAGCTGCCTGTCTGTCGGCCTGACCGTCGCCGTCCCCCAAATTCGAAATGATAGTCCACGCGACGAAGGAGTGGCTGCTGTTGGTCAGCACCAGAACTCGCGCATCACCGATGTCATCTTCCCCGCTGAGTGTAGTAGTGCACCCGGGGAGGCGGAGAGACCGCTGGATACACACATAGCTCGGCAGACAGACCTAAAAGACAGACCCACCCCAGCCCCTCAGCCCACAGCCAGCCTGGATGGACCATCGGCAGCTATCCAGGATGGACCATCGGCAGCTATCCATGCAGCCACTTGAATGCAACCCAGCTACAGGTATTCTCCTGAACACAGACGCACACGCCGGGAGGGCACGGCATCCATTCACACACACATTCCTCCCTCAGTCTATACCGTCATCGTCGCTGTCGTCGTCCTGCTGCTGCTGTACTTGTCCGTCGAAGACATATGGCGCCACTCGCCCCAGCGCCACACGGGCCAGCTGAGGGGTGGCTGGGAAGCGGTCCTTGAAGGCACCACCTCTCACACCAGCCACAAGTGCCTCGGTCGTCACGACACTAACAAACACTGCAGACAGACAGACAGACAGACAGACAGACGAGATTAATGAGCAAAGCTGGCTCTCTGTCGGCCTGACCGGTGGCGTCCCACAAATCCTGAATGGTAATCCACGCGACGAAGCCGTGGCTGCTATCGGTGAGCACCAGAAACCGCACACCACCGTGCCAGCCGTCCCGGCTGAATGTGGTGGTGCATCCGGCCCCACTGGTGTGTGGGGCGACTGTATGAGGAGGCCATCCAGACGGCCACCACCAACACGCCTGAACCAACAACAGGCACAGATACACAAAATCAGAGACGCACCCATCTCGCCACTGGTGTCGTTGACGTGGCGTCACCTGTTGAGGAGTATCCGTGTGCGATTGGGCTGGTGAGTCCTGTCGAAGTGGTTGAGGATCTTGTTCTTGGCGAATGACGACACTGATGTATTGGTGGACGGAAAGCTCGACTCCCATTGGTTGATATCGCCAAAGTAGTCGATCCCGCTCTGCACTGGTGGGTCATGCTGCTGTCGGTGCTGCTGGAACAAGTGGCCGGCAGGGAGGGGCGGGTCGACGGCCAGCTGGAAGCCGGGCTTGTCCTTGATGGCCCGCACCTCACCGTTGGCATGGCGGAAGATCTGCAGGCAGCTGCCGTCACCGAAGTCGATGTGGCGGCCGACCACCATGAGCTGCGCCAACACACGGGGAAACGATCTATACGCCTACACCACACCACACACAGACAGACGGAGAGAGAGGATGACTGAGGCCTCTCTGTTTTCTCACCCACTGCCCCTCTGTGTGTGCCTTACCGTCTTGTTGGCGTGTGTGTTGATGTCATCTGACATGAGGATGACAGGCAGCTCACAGTTGCCGCACTGGCTGGCCAGCTGCAGCACCTCCCCCGTCTCATCCCACCGCCCGCCCTCCTCGGCTATGCACACCGCCGCCATGAGGTCGGCCATCCCCAGCGATGGGTCGAACCGCACCAGCTGCAGCTGTGGGGTGTTGATGCCGTCGCCGTCACGGCTCAGTGAGTGGTCCAGTCGGCTGCGCAGCTGGTCTGATGAGAAGGCGTCTCTGATGTCTCGTGAGGCTGCCCTCAGCTGCAGTGTGGTGCTGATGTCGGGGATGCGGCAGCGGTCTTCGGCATACAGATGGGCGAGGGGGTGCTCCTGGCGCCCCCCTGCAGATCGATACACAAGGCACATCTGGTGCATGGCGGTCGGTTGTGTCAGACACACCTGACAATGCTGCTGCTGCTGCTGCTGCTCTTGCTGCGGGTGGCTGCGGGACGATGCGACGCCGTGGCGGTCGGGCGAGGCGAACAGCTCGTCTACTGCATCGGTCACGATCTGCACACACCACACAAACACAAACAACGACATCAACACGGTGCTGTGTTGGCGATTCTACTGGTCTTCTGCCATGCTCACCGCTTTGGTGGTCTGTGTGTCGCCCCACATGAGCCGCTGCATCCTCAACGTCGTCATGCTCGACTCCAACGCCGACTCGCTAACCGAGCTCTCAGCCACAAGGGCCGCACTCTGACAATGAACAATGGGACAAACCCACACAGGCCGTAGATAGGCCATGACACGTGTCGCTTCGGCTCACCCATATGCGGCCCGCTATCTCTTTCTGGTTTGTCTTGCGTGTGATGTAGACGGCCGTGGCGGCCAGCAGACGGACATCGCACCCGGCCAAGTCGATGTCACAGATCGACAAGAACTGCACAGACAGACAGACAGACAGACAGAGAGGGAGGGACAAGCCATTCGATGGCTGGAGGTGTCTGTCTGTGTGTGGCTGGCTGCCCGACTGACCATGAGGTATTTGGCCAATGAGAACAGGCGGCCGTGGGTGTCCATGCCGGCCGCAGTGAACAGCTTATCCAGACACTCAATGCCGCACACAGAACAATCAGACCTCACAGCCAGCAGCCGCACCGCCCGCATGACGGTCGCGTCGCGGCAGCCCAGAGATGAGGCGCTCTTTACTAAGCGATTCACCAACACGGCTGCCACACATGACAGACATCACAGCACACCTCTGAGGGCATCTGTGGTGTGCTGCTGTGTGCAAGTCGGGCGTACCTCTCTGTGCGGCCATTTCATGCTACCGACCTGTTTGTCAGACAAACCGAACACAGAGCATCTCTTGATTGATCAGTCATCCGGCATTCCCTCTCTTACTGTCCTGCTCGCCTCACCGTCACAGCCGCCATGGTGCCCTGCGATGGGCCTCAGCGATGAGTTGAAACCATCAGTTTGTGTCTAATGGGGCTCCTGCTGCCCTCTGGAAGGCACCACAATCGCTGAAACAGGCTGCAAGGAACGATCGAATCAGTGCGAGCTGGAAGATGAGGAACTTTGAATCCCGGCGATGAAGATGGCCTTTTCGTGAGCCGCCAGACTTCTGCACAGGCGTGTTGTGTTCTCATTTGGCGTTGAGTGCCTCGCCTGGTGCCGTCTGGTTTCGGGCTGCGTCAATCTCGCGGGCCGTGGAGGAGATCTCTGCCAGACTGACTGAGCAGCCGTGAGCAAGGGACCAGAGGGCATCCACGGGCAGCCCTGATCTATGTCATTTCGTGGCGTCATTTGTTCTGCAGGTGTGACCTGTGGCATCTGCGCGGACAGCAGGCGGCAGCGGGACCCTTCAGCAGCAAAAGGGAGGACCGCTGAGCAGACAAGGAGGTCAGATGGATCAAGCAGAGCAGACACGGACTTATCTGCACCATGTGTGTGTGGGTGTGGGTCTTCGCAGTGTGACGAGATGGAGTCGGCGGCCAGCACAGCAGGGCCAAGGTCAGTGAGCAAACACGAGGGCGGGCACGAACCACCACCTTTGGCTGGCTGCAGTGCATGGCTGATCGCTGTATACGCCCTGCTTACCTCTGATTGGGGATTCCCTGGCTCATAGGTACCGATGCCGACCGTGATGTGTTGGTCGAGTGTGGCGCCGTGGCGTCGGTCAAGACGCTGCTCCAGTCAGCTGAGCCACCAATGAGACTCACCGGATGCCTGACGATGGCGTTCGTGACTGGAGGTAGACGGCCACACACATCCCATGCTGCCGCGTCACGAGTGAGGTGCTGTGCTGTTTGGTGTGGACCGCCTGTGTGCAGGTAGTCCTGCTCACCTGCAGGCTGTCATCGATGCTGGTTTAGTTCCTCTGCTCGTCGACGCGGCCAGGGAGGAGCCTTCTGGCACGGCAGCAAGGACCACCGGAATTGTAGCCCGAGGATCACAGCGACAGGTGGGTATGGCAGCCAGCGATATGCAAGACACACACGGCACACAGCCCCACATTGACGTGTGTGTCTGATTGCGTATCCGTTTGTGCAGATTGAGCATGTGATTGAGTGTGGAGGAATTCAGCCCCTTCGTGGCCTGCTCAATGGCGACACGCTCAGGATGCTGTCAGGCTGTCCTAAGGTAGGTCCACACGCACACAGACTACACGGAAGTACATGTCCATCGCTAGCCCTCCTACCTGTTGTGTGCTGCCTGTGTGTGTGCATCGGTGCGGGTCGTCAGAAGCAGGCCAACGAGGGCCTCCCCGAAAACCCCTACTGCAGGCTGGTGGAACAGGTCAGAGGACGAGAGAGAGCGATGGACAGCGGGTACCATTCATTCACACGGCTACCTTGCTCTGACCTCCGTGCAGGCCGGCGGTGTGGAAAAGTTGGTCGAGCTGCAGGCACACAACGACGGGAACATCGCAGTGCAGGTGGCCTGCCTGCCTGCACGGCACCGTGTGTGTATGGCACACGACGCGAACACACACTGTCAGTGGGCTGTCTGTCTCTTGTGTGCTCTTGGGTTCATTCATTCAGGCAATGGCGATCCTCATTGACTACTTCCCAGCTCGCGTCGACGCACAGCGTCTGGAGGCCTTGATTCAGGCGGGTGTGATTCACGTGGTCCCTGAGCCTGGTGGGGGTGAGGATGACCGGGCCACCCACGTGAGCGACAGCGATGGCGACGAGGAGGCAGACGGCCAGCTGTATGGCCATGGCGAGGACCAGGAGGAGAAGATAGATAGACAGACGGGGCGCTTCCTCCATGACGCGTAGATGCGTAGATGCGTGCATTCCTGTGTGCGAATGTCTGTATGTGTAGCTAGCTGGCGAGAGGGAGACGCAATACAAACGCATACGGATGTGTGGCTGACTGACCCGACGAGCATCGCGTTGAAGTGGCCAGCCTCTTGCCCGATGGCCGGCCGTGTCTTGATGGAATTTGACTCGTCGCTGAACACATTGACTGACACGACCATGGGGCCAAATGAAATGAGACACGTTTCGATGGGATTTGACACGAAAGGACGGTTAGTATTATTCTCACACTTATACATACTGGGCAATGTCACGCACATCAGAAAATACATCAACACAACACACCGGACAAAGTCGGCCAGCCATCCATCGGTATGCATCGACTGGTTAGAGGGAGGGGGAGAGACCGCTGGATACACACATAGCTCGGCAGACAGACCTCAAAGACAGACCCACCCCAGCCCCTCAGCCCACAGCCAGCCTGGATGGGGACCGTCGGCAGCTATCCATGCAGCCACTTGAATGCAACCCAGCTACAGGTATTCTCCTGAACACAGACGCACACGCCGGGAGGGCACGGCATCCATTCACACACACATTCCTCCCTCAGTCTGTACCGTCATCGTCGCTGTCGTCGTCCTGCTGCTGCTGTACTTGTCCGTCGAAGACATATGGCGCCACTCGCGCTAGCGCCACACGGGCCAGCTGAGTGGTCACGGGGAAGCGGTCCTTGAAGGCGCCACTCACACCAGCCACAGGCGCCTCGGTCGTCAGGACACTAACCATCACTGCAGACAGACAGACGAGATTTAATGAGCAAAGCTGCCTGTCTGTCGGCCTGACCGGTGGCGTCCCACAAATCCTGAATGGCAATCCACGTGACGGACTCGTGGCTGCTGTTGGTCAGCACCAGAAACTGCACACCACCGTGCCAGCCGTCCCGGCTGATTGTGGTGGAGCAGCCGGCCACTGCTGTGTGGGGTGACTGGGTGAGGAGGCCAGCCAGACGGCCGCCACCAACACGCCTGAACCAACCACACACACACACACACACACAATCACACACGGACCCCTCTCGCCACTTGGGCCACTGGTGTGTCGTCACCTGTTGAGTGATATCGATGTGTCATTGGTCTGTTGAGTGTGGCAGAAGTGGTTGAGTATCTTGTCCTTGGCGAACGACGACAGCGACGCGTCGGTTGACAGGAGATCGCTCGACCCCCATCTGCCAAAGACGTCAGAGTAGAAGATGCCGCTCCGCACTGGTGGGTCATGCTGCTGTCGGTGCTGCTGATACAGATGGCCGGCGGGGAGGGGCTGGTCGACGTCCAGCTGGAAGCCGGGCTCGTCCTTGATGGCCCGCACCTCACCATTGGCACGGCGGAAGATCCGCAGGCAGCTGCCGTCACCGAAGTCGATGTGGCGGCCGACCACCATGAGCTGCGCCAACACACGGGGAAACGATCTATACGCCTACACCACACCACACACAGACAGACAGACAGACAGACAGAGGATGAGGCCTCTGTGTTCTCTCCCATCCCCGTGTGTGTGTGCCTTACCGTCTTGTTGGCGTGTGTGTTGATGTCATCGGCCGTGAGGTTGAGGGGCAGCGTGCAGTAGCGGCACTGGCTGGCCCACTGCAGCACCTCCCCCGTCTCATCCCACCGCCCGCCCTTCTCGGCTATGCACACCGCCGCCATGAGCTCACCCATCCCCAGCGATGGGTCGAAGCGCACCAGCTGCAGCCGCTGAGTGTTGATGCCATCGCCGTCACGGCTCAGTGAGTCGGCGAGGCGGTTGCGCAGCTCAGCTACGGTGAAGGCAGCCCGGATGCGCCGCGATGTGGCCCTCAGGCGGGCAACTGTGACGATGTCGGGCAGATGGCCTCGGCTGCCAACGAACAAGTAGCTGACGGGATGCTCCTGGGCGGCCATCGTCCCATCAGCCATCATGCCAAGCCGTCAACACATGCCTACGATGAAATCCGCCGAAAAATGGGCTCGGCATGATCGAGTTTATTCAGCCCA